CTGCTTCGCTTATCATTTTGCTGTCAGAGTGAGCTTCATCGGCTTTCGATGTTGAGCTGTCTTTCTCTGGCTCTTCTGACTTCTTCTCCACTTCTTGTTTTGTTGATTTTGATTCCACTGCATGTTGTGCTTGATCTTTCTCTTCCAGCATGACGTCGCCTTCCTTCGATGTTTTGTCTTTTTGCTTAGATGAATTTTTCGCAGCCTTTTTATCGCCCTTTACTTCCTGCTCTTTGGCTCCGCGGTGTGCAAGTGTACCGGCTGCAAGGATGGATTCAGCTTCAGAAACATGATGCTCCAAAGTCGAGCTGGCATCTTCTTTCTTGCTTGTCGCTGCTTCTTCACCGTCTACGTCTTCTCCCGATCGCTTTTGCTTTTTGAGATTGTCTCTAATGTCCAAATCTGTCGTCTTCAAAACGCTTGCATTTTCCACTTCCTGGGATTCCTTCCCTTTTATACCCGCTTTTTTGAGATGTTTAGTCTCCGACTTTGCCTCCGCATCTTTATCAACATTCATCTCTTGTTGTTCTCCAGCAGCTTCCTTGGTACTCGTTGAGGGCTGGGAATCGTGCACAACTCTTTGCTCTTGTTTCCTCAAGTTCTTGCCTTCATCTTCCTTTGCCTTTCCTTCTGTCTGTTTCTTGTCTTTCGCTTCAGGTTTTTCTTTCCTCGTATCTTCAGAGGTTGACGGCTGTTTGGCCCTGTGATTGCTTTCATCCCGTTTGGCCTTGTCATTACTTGCGTCGGGTTCAGGTTCTGCACTCTTCTTTTTTGTCTCCACTCTCGCTTTAGAGCCCTTGCCATGTAAGGCTTTATCATCCTGCACAGCTTCAGGAGGAGGTCTAGCTTCAGTCAATCCAGAAGACATTTCTTTCCTGAAATCTTGATCGGTATCTTTACTTGAGTGCAGATCTGCAGGCTTCTCTACTGCAACTGAATCTGATGACGACGTTGTCGTCTTCTTTGTTTTGGCTTTCTTTTGTTGTGCAGTTTTATAAATTTCTGACTCAACTTCTTTGTGGTCTTTCTCTGTAGAGGACGTTAAATTCTTCGCTGCAATACCCATATCTGCTTCAGGTGAAATGAGCATTTGCCTTAATTCTTCATCTTCGTCGATGTCAAAGTCAACACCAGCCTTTTCTTTTCCGCTCGATTTTTTCCGCATACTCTCAACATTCATTTCGTCGTCAGCCTTTTGTATCGCTCCTTCGCGAATACAAATGCTGGTTTCTTCTTCATACGACTGTGAGGGTCTTTCAAACTTGAACTCCGCTGAGACCTCACGAGGCGATACAGTCCTTGATCTGCGATTACGGCTTGGACTTGGGAGCCGTGCGGAGATGCTGGTGGACCGCGGTTCTCTTAATGGTGATGCTGCTTCCGCATGTGCTTCGATAGCTGTCATGCTAGTTGTGAGATTCGTTTCTGAACGTATGACACTACGATCTCCAAATAGAGAATTGATCTCAAGTGGAATCACGAGTGACTTTGGTCGCTTCTTCTTCTTCCTTTCGATCTTCGCAGCTGCAGCAGCTGCAGTTCGGTTGGCGGCATTGATAGACATTTCGCTTTCGTTCAGACTTATGCTACTTCCCCTTATATCTGGTAAAATTTTCGCAAGTGCAGGAAACTCGTAGTCTGTTGCGGGAATCTTTTTCGTTTGTTTCGGAATCTCTGCATGTGGTTGGGCTTCCTTGGGCAAATCACCTTCCTCTGCCGCTTTTTTCGTGCTCCGAGGTGGTAACTTCTGCGACAATTTTTTGGTTGTGTCCTCTTTTGATTTTTTGTTTACATCTTCGGCTGTGGGACCTTGTTCTTTCTTCTCGGATGGTTTCTTGAGTATCTTGCCTACATCTTTGGGTCCAGGACCTTCTTCTTTCTTCTCGTACGGTTTCTTTAGTATGGTGCCTACATCATCAGCAGCAGAACCTCCCTCCTTCTTCTCGAACGGTTTCTTGAATATCTTGCCTATATTTTTCACCTTCATACCACGCTTAGATCTTACGCTCTCTGCTTGATCCTAAAAATGAAATCACTTCATTAATGTGGCAGAAGGTAATGTGTAGCACTTACATGTTTGCTTTCAACTTCCTTCGCTGGCTCTAAGCTCTCGGTCTCATGCTTGTCTTTACCATCGGCGTTTGCTAAATGAGTCATAATACTAGATGGAGCTGATTTTGATGGCAGATGTAGTTTAAACAAGAAGCTTAAGGCGACCGAAGTTCATCCATCCATGTGATTCGAGTACTTTGCAGGCGGTGAGAAAATGTTTTTTGCACAAGTAAATATTACTGTCAAACGGTCCGCGATTATGCAAACAGGGAGAATTCATAATTTTTGCACACTACAAAGATGAATCTCCTACCTGAAACACCTGCTCGGACATGCAAATCTGCATAACACCAAGCTTCACCAGCAGGATTAACAGCATGGCAGGCATATTCGGCTTCTTCGTGCTGCTCGGCATTTTTCAAAATCAAACAATGCTCGTTGGAGGGTTTGTGAAGGATTTTG